AGGGCAATCAGCTATCCAGAGAACTGCTACCCCTCTTCTGGTTAGAACTTTCCCAAAGGCTATTTCTTAGCTTTATCACTTTAAGGTTTAAAAAAATGTGATTTTTAAAAAAAATCTCTCAAAAAATCTACGTGGCTTCACAACTTCATTTGGAGAGTGTAGAAGCAGAGGGAAGCTAGGCTAGGAGGACACACACAGAAGAAATCTTCTATATTTCCCCCTGAAAACCATCCTCCATACAACTGATAAATAGATGTTTCTATGTTGGCCCTGCCAGGAGATGTAATCCAGCATCTTATCAGGCGTAGTCCATAGTCTCAATTATGCACAAATGAGACTATCAGAAAGAAGGCTTTCAGTGACTTCAAGTTTTCCAGGGACTAACCCTAAATTGAGGGATAGAGATGTGCAACCATGCAAGGGGCCTACATACGGCGGTGCGCTCTCTCTCTCTCTCTCTGTCTCTCTCTCTCTCTCTCTCTGTCTCTCTTAAATTTTTTTTCCCAAACTAGAAGTTACTGGGCTGAGGTTTCTCACATAGAAACAGCCTGAAGAATTTAAACATACTTGAACACTTTAGTAGGTCCTTTGAGACTCATAGCCTAGATCATTTTAAGGACCAAGGACTGAAGACACAGAGACTGTCAATATGGCTAGGCTAGAGATATGTCCTAGAAGTCTGTATATCTTATATCCTTTTAATATTACATTTAATTTTTCAAGTCAAGTCAACAAGCATTTATTAAGCACCAACTGTATGACAGGCACTATGCTAGGTGCTAGGGATGCAAAGAAAGGCAAAAACAGTCCTTGCCTACTTTTAAACATATTTTGCCTTGTGCCTCTCTCCTTCTGGAAAATTCCATTCTGTATGCTCCAACTAGGCCCTCAAATCAGCATAACTGCAATCAAATGAAACCAACAAGCCAGCAGGTCGCTCAAAGCTCACAACTTCATGAGGACGTGGAGGGGGATACCAGGAGAAGATGTAAGGAAGAGATTCTCCGCATCTCCTCTCCAAGCCATCCTCCACACAACTGACAAAAGGATATTCACAAAGCACAGATCTGATCACGCCATGCCCCTGCTCAGGAATATTTAGGGGCTCTCTATTCCCTCTAGGATAAAATACAAGCTTTTCTCTTCATACGCTGGGCCCAATCTATGTTTCCAAATTGATTTCATGTTACTTTCTGGCCCCTCCCTCATGCATTTTGCATGCCAACCCAACTGGCTCAGGACAGTTCGTTGTTCTACAGGACATCCCCTCTCCCATCTTAGTGACTCTGCAAAGACTGAACTGGGTGCCTGGAACACTCTCTCTTCTCATGTCCACTTCTTGGGTTTGCTAGCTGCCTTCAAGTTTCAGCCCTCAAGTGCCACACCCTGCAAAAAGCCTTTTCTAATCCCCTTGGGTTTGTGTTCCCTGCCATTGCCCCACAATTACTTTGTATTTAGTTAACTGTATTATTTCCTCTTAATAAAATGGAAGCTCTTGAGAGCAGAGACTCTTCTCCTTTTTGACTTTGTATGAATGGATGAAGGAAGGAATGTATGTATGAATGAATGGATGGATGGATGGATAGATGAATGAAAAAACATCTTTAAGTGATTGCTATTTCTAGACACAGTGCTAAGTACTGGGGATACAAATACAAAAAAGTGAGAAAGTCCCTGTACTCAAAAGGCTTGTGCTCTAATAAGGAGGGACAGGGCGTAAAGGGAATAATGTTCAAAAAAGGTAATTTGGCTCTGAGGAATCATAGGGATTATTGATCCACAGGGCAGGCAACTGACATGCCCTTTTCAGAAGCAATAGATATTTGTATTTCCAGCACCTGGCACATAGTAAATAATTAATAAACATTGGTGGAATTAAATTGCGTCAAGATTTAAAGGCTGAGCAAGATAGCTCTGAAAGTCAGTTGGAATTCCTTGTCAGTGTCTTGTTTGCCATCTTCCCAGCTGGAACCCCGTGTCCACTGGATGCCAACTGGAGTCACAGCCAGGGAAGGGACTGGTGACTCTGTCTCCTACCATCTCTCTGTTTGGGGCAAAATTGGCTCCATCTAGCAAAGGAGCCATTCCCTAGGCCATGGACATGGTACTGATGCCAGGCTGGAGTTTCTCTGGCTACATCTTGCCCACTTTAGACCAGGGCTGGGGAGATCATTCTTCTGGAATCGGCTGCCCTATTGTTGCCATCCCCATCTCAAAGCATCTAGCTCCTCTCCTCCCTTACAACACCCTGCTCTTGAGGGCCCTGCTTAGACACCAAGCTACAAGAACAGCTTCAAGTTCTGAAAGACTCCAACTGTCCGGGTCAATCCTTAGCAAAGACTTCCTGGGAGATCAAAGACCAGGCCTATACAAACTTGTGAAGCAGTAAATCATATCACTCCATTCTGCATCTTTCCTCCTTCTGCCCTCCATGTAACCTTCTCTCACACTCCTTCCAATATTGTTATCACATCTCTTCTTATGAAAAACACAACCTCGGATTCTTTATTCACCCTGAGGTGCAAACAACTGGTAGCATTTTAAAGTATGACCCCCTTGTAGAGGAATTTGTGTTTTAACAGGGATCAAAGCCTTAAGATAATGGGATGAAGATCTAATTGGGGGGTGGCAGAATGGAGGGCTTTCCTAGTATTCTTGAAATCAATCATTCAGCTTGCCTATGACTCTACTGAAATGATACTGGTAAAGACCTTTGATGACAAATATCTCTGGCTAAGGCTCTGGTGTTTCTGGTAGATCTACAAAATATCCTCAGTCAACACTTCAGAAACTTTCACCTTTCCCTCTTGACAAATGAAAGCTTTCCTGATTCCTTCTGCTTTGGGGGGAGCGTCATCTGCCACACAGCAAACTGCCTCTCCTTCCTGACTTTCCTCACATGGTACTCTGTCCCTCTTGTCTTGGCCAGACTCTGTTGCCAGGGCCTTCAACTCTTTAATAGCCATTGATTCTCTTCCTAAGGCTCTGTCTAAACTATTCACAGCCTTGCTGAATCAGCATGGCTCCACCCCTAGTTGGGCCAGGATGGAGGCCTATTCATGGCCTATTTTAAAATCCTTTCTCTTCATACTTTCTTTCTGAAATAGCATCTCATTTCAAGCTCCAGTGGACTCATAATCACCCAATTTACCCCGGGATATTGCTCAATGTTCCTTCTGCTTAACTCTCTCTCAATGGTCTACTTGGTTCTTCTGCTCAATCTCCCTTTCCCTTCTTTGACTTTGTTAGCTATTATTTTATCTAAATTAAAAATCTCCTTCCACTAGTTCCAGCCTCCTTTCTTTTGGCCCATGGTTGGCAAGTTTTCTTCGAAATGTCTTCCTCAAAGCCTGCTCCAAATATACCAGGCACCACCAACCCAGACGACAGAGTCTGACTTCAACCTTCCCAAGGGGAAACCCATGGAGAGCAGGCAAAGGATGTGGAAAGGTCTTCATCTAAACCCTCCCAGATTGAGTCACCCTACCAACCCAGGGTAAAATTGTTCAAGGTGGAAGGAGGGGTTAGGTAGAATCTCATTGAGATAGTGATAGCTTTTAATCAAACACGGGGCATGCCCAAATCTGGGCTGTACTGGTTCAAGTTTTATTTTTTATTAAGTCATACCTGGTATAAGGAACTCTCAATGAGTTAACCCCCTCTGCTAATGCAAAGCAACACCTTCTCTGCAACATGGAGTCTTAGAAGGTTGTCTGGGACATTGAGAGGTTGTCACTTGCCAAAGGTTACCTAGCCACTAATTATGAGAGGTGGATTTGAACCCAGGTCCTTCTGATTTCAAGTCCACCACTCCACTACATTTCGCTTCTTCTCATCTGTTATGTTGAGGAACTGGGTGCCCCGGGCACCCCAATCTTTTGATTACATAAGCATCACTATATATAGAAAATTATTTTATACACCATAGCACTACGTAAATCTGATATTATTATAATTTGCCAATATTTAGAATGCCAGTATAATGTTTCATGCTCAGACTACACTGAACATAATCCCATGTTTTCCAGGGTCTTGCCATTCCTCAGGGGCACAGAGATGGATATCCAGCACTCCAACAGAAGCACAGGTTAATAGAGAATTCTGGCTGGCAGAATGCCAGCCAGCAGGAAGTTGGCGATAACAGGGCCATGATGTTTGGTGCCCGGAGACACATCTTGAGCAGGACCTTCCTTGGGCACCAAAGTCCCAGCTGAGGGACAGCTCCTTCATCACAGACCCTTATCTCACACCCAGCAAGTCAGCCAGCCACCCTTTACCCTACTCACTCAGCCATAAATTCCCAGCCTGAAACAAATGCAATATTTGGCTTAAAAAATCAATAAAATCAGTCTTCCCCCCACCCCCCACCCCTCTTATTTTGAGGGAAGCCTGAATCTAAAGCAAAAACTCTTAGGCTTTCCAATGGCTGGATAAGGAAATACTAACTTGGGAGAGCCTCTCTTCCCAATCCCAGTCCTGCTCCCCCCCTCCATCTGCAAGGCACTGATAGTCCTCGGTCTTCAGATACTTCTCCCCTCATGTTTTCTTTCTCTTTCTTCTGACAACCCAAGAATCCTTTGTGGTTCATGGCAGCTTCTGGCTTCTAGAACACCTGAGACAGAGGTCTATGCAGAGGATTTCAGAATTCCTGGGGGTGATGCTTGAGCATAAGAGACACACAGAGAGTTCACTGAGGAACAAAGGAATCTCTGAAACAGGAAAGGGAGGCTTGCAGCCTTCTGTGAGCAGCTGCGCCTCACCTCCATTTACCTCCTCTAATCCTAACCAGCCCCAGGTGATCAGGGAGGGGCTGCTTCTGTTCTTAAGGTTCAACTGCAGCAAGGAAACCTGGTTTTCCCCAGATGAGCTCCATTCCCACAGCTGCCCTGCCCCGGGCAGCACTCCCAATGCCCTGCAGGATGTGGGGGATGTCAGCCAGCAGAGGCGCTCTGTCTGCCTGGGGAGGTGTCTAGGTGTGAGCCAGCCAAGGCGGTACTTACAATGCGAGGTTTGAAAGGGGGCTTGATCTTCTTTTGCTCCAGCAGCACCCAGTCAATCTCCTTGAAAAAGGGATGCTGTCGGATGGCTTCCTCACCGCTCTGCGTTGCCACACAGCCCAATCGCTTATTGGGATTTTTCGTCATGAACTGGAAGAGGTAGAGATGATGAAATGACATTAGTGAAAAAGATTCACCAGGGCCCGACTTTGTAGGGAAACTGGGACAATGGCTGAATTGTCTTCTGCTGCCCCCTCACCTCTCTGCCCTCTTCTACTCTGTCACTTTTAAACCCACTCCTTCTCTCTGAATAAGACAATGTTGCATAGTGGAAAGAATGCTAGATTTGGAGTCTTGTAGGTTTAAATTCCACCCTAGACACCTACGGGCTCTGTAACCATGAGCAAGCCACTTTAATCTCTGTCAGCCTCAGTTTCTTTATCTGTGAAATGGGGATATTACTATACTTACCTCCCAAGATCAAATTTTAAAAAAAGTTTGTTAAAGCATTTTGCAGATCCTAGGGTGTCATATAAACATCAGCTATTCGAGTCTTGGCACAAGATTCCACAAAGTCCTGCTCAGATGCCTCACTGTGACCTGAAGATGTGAAGGCCAAACCAGTACAGTGAAAGGTCTGGCAGCTTCTGCCATGCTGGAAAGGCTTTGAATACGACCTCAGGAACAGGCTGAATCTGTTTTCCAAGCACTAACCTAGCTAACTACGGACAGGCTTATCTTCCTCAGGCTGGCAACCTGCTGATGAACGTTTTGACCACAGCAACGCATGAAACAAAGAACTCATGCGGCCCTCAGTCCTGTGTGGCCCCTTCTTCAGTGGCAGGAGACCAGGCAGAAGGTGCTGAAAATCACACAGTTTAGGACTGTTAAGAAATTTTAATTTAACTACTGGAACTCTGAAGGTGAGCTCTTTGCCCAATGACCAATATGTGGATATGTTGCTGGAAAAGCCGAACTATGTTACCCTTGACATTCTTGCTATAAACAAAACTAGAAGAAACAAGGAGGTTGCAGCTATTAATTTGTAAGCCCCTTGAGGGCAGAAATACACTCTCTCTCTCTCTCTCTCTCTCTCTCTCTCTCTCTCTCTCTCTCTCTCTCTTCTCTCTCTCTCTCTCTCTCGCCTGGAACATATTAGGCACTTAAATATTTATTGACTGACTAAATGCAAGGATGGCTAACAGGTAACTTCTTGAGGATGCAAAGAAAGGGTTGTTAGAATGGATTTTTATTGTATGCATAAATGCAGTAAAAGTATATTTCATGGAACATCTGATCATCACAAGTATTACAGTATCAATAAATATTTGCAAATGACTATTCTAAAAATAACTGTAGCTTAGATCAACATTGGTTGCTGAGAATGTAGATTATTGGCACGTAGCAGGCACTTGATAAATGTTTACTGACTGACAAAAAGGAAGAATGCTTACAGTTAACTCTCTGAGAATGCAAAGAAAGGAGGGGATGCCAAAGCAGGGTTTTATTGCATGCATGAATGCAACAAAAATACACACATTATTTTATAAATATTTGGACATTCACACATTACGGTATTAATGATAAGTATTTGCAAATGATTACCACAAAAATAATTGCAGTTTATGCATCCACATCACTTGCTAAAGAGAAGAGAAATTCAATGGAGAACCTGATGGAGAACCTAACCAAATTAAATCAACATACATTGGGATAATTGATGACATAAATGCACAGGTGGGAAAGGGCAAGAAGGGGGAGAAATAAACGGGAAAGCATGGTTCAGAAGAAAGAATGGGAGAGGCCAAAGATTTGTAGGTTCCATAGAATCCTCTATATCATGAATAGTTTCATTGAAAATGAAATTGGTAGATCCTGGACCAAATAATAGAATAAAGAATGAAGTGAATTCTATTTTACTGAACAGGAGAAAGCTTATTGTTGGTGTGGAGTTATCCCTAATCCAACAATTGTACAGCTGGACCATCAACTCCTCGGAGCTAAGAACAGAATCAGCAAAGAACAAGAAGAAAGAGTCATGACAAGAACATTTGGTGTAAAATAAAAACCACTTAGCTCTGAACTATTTAAATAAATACTTGAAGATGGGACAAAAAAACCAGGAAATGCATAGCAGAAATGAAAATGATACCTGCTTGTAACGCTTTTAATTAGAAGTCAAACCAATGTAAATTAATTGCCACAGCAAGGAGATCCAAAGAGCCCAGAAAGCACCTTAATCAGCAAACATCTGTCTTATTTGCCAAACATAAAGATATGGCTGCCAAAAGCAACATGAGGTTAGGATATAAACCCATTTGTAAAATCTTACATTGCAGGATGATGGATGGATGTGAGCTGCACTGTCTCCTAGAGCAGAAAGAAACACTGGAAGGAAAAGCCAATTCACAGAAATCATGGTAAGAGATCCTACCAAGCAAAGTCACCCCAAGAGCATTCTAGGCTGAAAGTGGAAGAACTATACAAAGCAGAAAAGTGGAAACAGTTTGCAAAAATAATTTTTACAAATCATTCCTTCAATCAAGAACAATGGAACTGGTACACTTGGAGCCTAACAGCAAAGTTCCAATGTGCTGATAGAGGAAGCATTAAAGGGTAGGAACAATGATATGTTGGGCAGATTACGCAAAATATATAAGGTGTTCTAAATGCTTTAGTATGGTTTTGAGTTTTCCTTTATTTTTTATTTTTAGGCAATTGGAGTTAAGTGACTTGCCCAGGGTTTGTCACACAGGGTTTTTGAGTTTTTAAAACAGAGCAGCTAGGTGGTGCAGTGGATAGAGCACTGGCCCTGAAGTCAGGAGGACCTGAGTTCAAATCTGGCCTCAGACCACACACTTGACACTTACTAGCTGTGTGACTCTAGGCAAGTCACTTAACCCCAATTTTCTAAAAAAAAAAAATCCTCTGTTTGCCTTGTAAAGCCCTTCATGACCTAGCCCCTTCTTCCTTTTTAGTCTTATATCTTACTCCCCCTACTTCTTCCCCACCCCAAGTACTCTTCAATCCAGGGAGACTGGCCTTTTTGCTGTTTCTCACAAGATACTCAATCTCCTGACTAGACATTTTCACTGGCTTTCTCCCCCAAGCCTGGGATGCTCTTTCTCCTCATCTCTCCCTCAGGTCTCATCTAGAATCTCACCTTTTGCACGAAGCCCTTCTTGCTCTCCTTTAACACTAATACCCTCCTCCTGAGATTATTTCCAATTTATCATGTACACATTTTATTTGCATATTCTAGTCACATATTGTCTCCCTCATTAGACTGTGGCTTTCTTGAGAGCAGAGACTATTTTTTGCCTCTCTTTGTAACCCCAGTGCTTAGCACAGTGCCTGGCATATAGTAGGTACTTGACATTTTAAAATTTTATTTTATTTGTAATTACTAGAATAAAACAAGCATTTCCATAACATAGTATAATAAAAAAGAGATGATTGCACATGATTGACTTGACTTGATTTGACTAAATGGCTACTCTCTTGCAAATATCCATCCAAGGAATGGGAAGATGCCTCCCTACTTGCTCTTTTCCTCCTCCTTGCTGTTCATTTAGAAGGGAAAAGAGGCCAAACGGCAAAAGATACAATCTTCCAATACAGAAGGTACAGATTTGATTTCATCCCAAGAGCCAATATCCTGATGTTAGTTTTACATTCCCTGAGTTACGAACTAAATCACCTTTATTCAAAAGTTGAGAAGGTCAAATGAATGGATCTCCAGAGTGGCTGAATACTAATAAAGCTATACTATAGTGGTACTCTGGGAAACTGGCTCTGGTGACCTTCAGCTTCTTCTTCTGCCTTATCTTCCTCCTCCTCATCTCACAATCCTAGTCAAGCTTCTAGCTGCATGTGGTACTGTCTGCATCATCCATCTCAAGTTTATTCCTTACCATTCTCTTGCTGATGTCTAATTGATTCATGTGTTTGAATAAGACTATAGATTCCTCCAGACCCCATGCTCCCCTTCCCTTGTTTCTCCTACAGGCCTAGCATAGGAGATATTTAATAAACACTTTTTTTTAAAATTTTTTTTTTTAGGCAGTTGGGTTAAGTGACTTGTCCAGGGTCACACAACTAGTAAGTGTCAAGTGTTTGGTCCGAGGCCAGATTTGAACTCAGGTCCCCTTGACTCCAGGGCTGGCACTCTATCCACTGTGCCACCTAGCTGCCCCTTAGTAGACACTTCTTGAGACATACAGTTGTTTACTGGGCCAAGAGACAAAAGACACAAATTCTAAACTTGGTTTAATGACTTCCTCTGTGGCCTTAGATAAATCATTTAATTCTCTAGGCCTCAGTTCTCTCATCTGTAAAATAAGAAGCTTGGACGATATGATCTCCAAGTTTCTCTCCAGTTCTAATATTCTATCATTCATGAGGTCTTAGTTAACCAACTCGGTTCTAGTGACTTTGCCAGGTACTTGTTAACCATAACCCTCAACGGCAATTACCATTCATTATTTTGTACTCCTCTGTAATAATAGGATTGCAGACTTAACTCTGTAAGAAACTTTAGAAGTCACCTTGTCTAACCCCCCCTCATTTTACAGATAAGGAAACTGAGGTCTAGAATGATAAAATGGCTTCTCTAAATTCACACAGAAAGTAAGAGTTAGAATAGGATTTGAACCCAGATTTCTGACTCCAGATGCACATCATGCTTGAATGCTTTTGCTTTCTGACCACAACCCTGTAAAAAAGGTAGTATATTATTAGCATACCCATTTTACAGATGAGGGAAGTGACACTGAGAAGTGAAGTCCTTGGTGATTATTTCATGGCTATGAGTCATTTCCCCAGCTGTAAACTTCACAGAGAAAGACAACCGTATTTTCTTTTTTTCTTTTTTTTTTAATATAAATTTATTTATTTTTAGTTTTCAATATTCACTTCCACAAGTTTTTGAGTTCCAAATTTTCACCCCATCTCACCCCTCCCTCCACCCCAAGATGGTATGCATTCTGAATATCCCTTCCCCTAGTCTGTTCTCTCTTCTATCTCTTCCCCCCTTCTCTTATCCCCTTCCCCTTCTATTTTCCTGTAGGGCAGGATAGACTTCTATACCCCACCTCCTGTATTTCTTGTTTCCCAGTAGCATGTGAAAACTTTTTTTTTAAACATATGTT